CCACATCTTCTTGGTGTAAGGAGGCGTAAAATCTGCCATGCAGTTCTTTTTACTCTGCCAGCGCTGTTTCATCTGTCCAGCAAGATTTACAGCTTCCGGTTCTTGGTCGCTAGCCAGGTTGAGTGATGTATAGTTTTATCTAAGACTCGTATGCTTTTATACACAGGTGCATTGTTGGTGAGTAAATATTTTTCTTAATTTCTGTCTTTCTTCCTGGCTAGCAGACTCTAAACTGATTAGTCCTCGACCCCTTCATCCCTAGGTAAGTACAACCTTTCTATGGCCGAGTTTGGGTGTAGTATGCCATGCTTTGTAAGTAGAGATCTAATTTTCCGGTCCAGTCTTTCTAGATCCGTTATATATATATATATATATATATATATATATATATATATATATATATATATATATATATATATATATATATATATATATATATATATATATATATATATATATATATATATATATATATATATAAATATATATATATATATATATATATATATATATATATATATATATATATATATATATATATATAGTAGAGGATATATATACAGCAGGTATATATGGCGATATATATATAGTATAGGATATATATGGTAGAGGATATTAGAAAAGAGCAAAAACAACCTTAAAAATTCTGCTAAAATTTGCCCAGTTAAATGTAAATCGAAGTAGGGCGGCACATGACGGTAGTAGGTACATAGGTAAGTAGGGCGACACTATAGACGGCGATGTTCTCCTGATTACTGAGCCAAATAAATCGCTAGTCAGAGAAAAAGAGTATATCTGTGATCGTAACTTAAACACTGCTGTGATAATCCGAAATATATGTGATAGGACTGCTGTGATAAATATACAAACGGAGAATGACTTTGTGTGTGTTGAGTTTCAGACCTGTATTGTTATTGTGTGTTACGTGTCACCAAATGTAGAATTAAGTTACTTAGATAAGGTTTTATTAGATGTAGAAAAATACGTGTGTAGAAGTAAACCAACAATAGTTGTCGGCGATCTTAATTCTAAATCTCCTCTATGGGGATCTACAAAAGAAGACGCCAGAGGACGGCTCGTTGCAGATTGGCTGGCTCAAAATGACCTGTTAGTCGCAAATAATGGAGATGAACCAACTTTTGTGCGAAGAAACAGCAGATCACATCTTGATGTTACCTTTGGTACGACAAGAGCAATGGTACTGATGAGAAATTGGCGCGTTTTGACTGAGGAAAATCTTTCCGACCATCGAACAATAAAGTTCGAATTTGGGATTAATGATGGGAAGGAGAGAGGAGATATTCTGAAGACGCGCTGGAATTTTAAGCTAGACAAAGAGGAGAAGGTAAAGCTTTCAATAAGAAACAACATACCAACCTATAAAAATGTTGGAGGAGAGGAACTCATTAAATGTTTGCAAAAAGTATGTCGAGAAACTTTAGAAAATCAATCTTCAAAATATAATAGAAAACCAGCATACTGGTGGAATAGCGATATAGCGGACGCCCGAAAACAATGTCTGAGAGCTAGAAGAACTCTTACCAGATCGCACAGAAATGAATTATCCCAGACGAATTCAAATGAAGCCGAAACAGAGTACCGTATAGCGCGCAGTACCCTTAAGAAGAAGATTCTAAAATCAAAAGAGCAGTTATGGAGAGACATGTTAGACAATTTGGAAGAGGACATCTGGGGACAGGCATACAAGATCGTAACCAAGAAAATAAAGGTCAGACGTGCGATTCATAAAAAGACGCAGCTGCAAGAAGCGCAGAGGTTGTTTCCCAAAAGCGAGAGTATTAAATGGACCAAGGTACATTATGATCACTTCCCCCTAATTACTGATGAAGACATACAAAATTCAGCACGAAATCTTAAACGAGGCAAGGCACCGGGACCGGATGGCATACCGGTCGAGGTTGTCCAAATCTTGGCCGAGGAACAACCCAAAATTATCTCCAACCTCTTTAATGACCTCATCAAGGCTGCTAACTTCCCACAAATATGGAAATGTGCACAATTAGTACTTGTGGAAAAGCCAAAAAAGGAAGCTGATAAATCTTCATACCGACCTATATGCTTATTGGATTCTATGGGTAAACTTCTGGAAATGACCCTAAAGACAAAATTGGAAGAAGAAATAGAACAAAAAGGAGGTTTGAATAAGAGACAGTTTGGTTTTAGAAAAGGAATGAGTACAGTAGATCCACTTAGTAAGGTTACAAAAATGATTAAAAATCTGAAGGACATTAGCTTGACAAACAGGGACGTGATGCTGCTTATAACATTAGATGTTAAAAATGCTTTCAACACAGCATCCTAGAAAGTAATAATAAATGAACTCACGTCATATTGGAATGTTAGCCAGTATTTAATTGAAGGCATCAAGAGTTATTTAAGTGATCGATCGATTCTGGTGGCAGACTGCGCTATGGAAATGACAAAAGGCGTGCCCCAGGGATCCATACTAGGTCCGCTTCTCTGGAATATTCTCTATGACGGACTTCTCAGGCTTCAATTCCCCTATGGAACTGAAGTACTGGCCTACGCTGATGACATTGCTTTAATTATTAGGACTAGAAGCGCGGAGGAAATAACTGCGATAGCAGAACAGGCAACGTCCCAGGTATGTTCCTGGATGGAGGAGGTAGGATTGGAAATTGCCCCTCAAAAAACAGAATGTGTTGCACTCGTAGGAGGCCGCAAATTGTCAGGCCGAGGCATTTTAGTAAAGGACAAAGTCATTGTGCTTAAAAGCACAGTAAAATACCTTGGAGTAACGTTTCAGGCTGGAGGTAACTTTACTCAGCACATACGCACGGTTGCAGCGAAGGCAGAGAGGCAATGTATACTGCTAACAAAACTTATGCCGAACTGGTCCATTATGGGGGAAACCAAGCGCAGAACGTTGGCCGCCGTTCAGACGTCTACCATTCTGTATGCTTCCGAGGTCTGGGGAAGGGCCGTTGAAGTGAAGAAGAATAGGGAATGGTTGAGGGCAGTTCAAAGGCGATTGGCGCTGCAAATATGTCGAGGGTACCGCACTATATCAGCAGATGCGGCAGAAGTAATTAGTTGCATGATACCGATAGATCTTCTAATACAAGAGAGGATGCAGAGAAAGGCGTGTCCGAATAGATAGCGAGAGTATAACCGGGAAAAAATACTGAACACATGGAGCGACAGATGGAAATACAATGTAGACGGGAAAGCGCAGTGGACAAGACAACTTATACCACATATAAGAAACTGGATAGACCGGAGCCAGGAGAAGTTACCTACGCTATGACACAATGTTTATCAGGACACGGATGCTTCAAGAATTACTTATATAAAATGAAACTTACCGATAGTCCAAAATGCATCTACGGTGACCACGATAACGACACAGCAGAGCACACAATCCTGGAATGCAAAAGGTGGACCTATGAAAGAAATAAATTAATGGAGAGTCTAAATACAGAGAAACTAACTTACACTAACTTGGTTCCAACGATGCTTAAGTCAAATGAGAACTGGAAAGCAGTCCGGGAATATATGGAGGCGCTGATATCTGCAAAGGAAAACGAAGCCAAAAGGTTTGGAAAGTAAAAAAAAAGAAGAATAATTTGAGTGTACTTACCATACTGCTCTAGTACTGCTTTGTACTTACCACACTCGCTAGTGTCCAACTTTGACTGAAGTGCTCAATTACCTGTAACATCACAATAAAACTGCCTCCCCCAGAAGTAATGCCGAAAGGTAGTTCCTTGGGGAGATACTCAAAGCGGTTTGTGGAGGTTTTTTAGTCGGTAAGGTACCTCAACCACCCCGACAGTACCACTTACGGTCTCGGTTTGCAGATTTTTCCCCACGAAAAAAAAAAAAAAAAAAAAAAATATATATATATATATATATATATATATATATATATATATATATATATATATGCCTTCTTTTTAGCTATATATATGCAGATAAAGCTTATATCGCAGAAAAGCTTAAAAAATGGCGCTTTTTGTGAAGTCATGGCCAACTATGGTTTCCATTTAAAGAAACATATGTTTGTGTCATATGTCAAAAATGACAGGCTTGGGAAAAAATCGGAGAACACAAGCTCATTAGGGATGTGATTATCTACAACTTTTATCTGAAAACTTTTTGTCTAAAATAGATCATAATGGAATTAGGGACAATTTTTAAAATATCCGAAATTTGTTTTTTTCGAAATATCTAGTAAGCCATGAACTTTTTCAAAAATCTGAAAGGCGCATATTTATGACCCCAAAAATCTGCAATTCTTTCCCCATTTAACCGACTCTCTATCTCCAGTAGTTTCCGAGATACCCATAGAGAACGTCGTAAGAAACTCACCCTGTATATATGTATAACGATTTTTAGCCTTAGTCAATTCGTTGCATTATCTAAGTTATCTTCACAACTTTGGACCACGTCCTCGAGGTTCCTGTTCTAATTTTTTTAATGTACATAACTACTGTAATCAACTTTCTAAAAACTGGCTTTGGTAAATTCAGAGAGTTTTTTCGGCGCTGCCTCTTAGACTACTATGACGCCTGCCGTACTGCCGTAACTTGTTTATTTTTATCAAAATGGCAAGTACGGTTGCAAGATTTGTGCAGATTGTGGAAAAATATCCATATTTGTATAATAATTATCTTGGTGAATATGCCAGAAGAGAAAAGATACGTATACCTGAAAGGGCTTGGAATGAGGTGGCGAATGAAATAAAATGTACAGATTAGTACCCTGGTGTTGCCTATCGTCGTTCTGTATTATATCAAACTAACGTCTTCATCGTTGAACGACATTGTCACAAATTGATGAAAACGTAAGCTTGTCATATGCTTCGTGGAGAGAGTTTAGTACGCTAGGCTACACCGGCTACACAAGCTGCACGGCGCATTTTGAAGCGTCTACGAAGCTACGCTTTCGTGGACAGTGGGCCTAAAGTTCTTATTATTCATGAACTTCATTCTCTCAATAACTTGTTTTACTTTCAGTGATACTAGAAGATGCTTGAGGTACATTGCTTATTATGGCTTACAAACGCACTTTGTTTTTATTGGTGATGAAAGAATCAGACAGCTGTATCTGGGATTAGCTAAACATTTAGCCCAACATGAAGAATCAACCAAATACCCTATCGATCAAAATTTATCACACGTTGATAATAATTTAAATTTTAAATTAGATTTTTACTGGTCGCCCGTTGTTTCTAAGGATATGATGGATATTTTTCTGTTGGTAAATTTTTGGACACTTATAAATCAATGTTAAGGGACAGTTTTTAGGAATTGGGAGGAGTCAGAAAATCCACCATCTGTCATTGTTGCTGGTTCGGCATTGTGGTCTATTTTAAAATCAAATGATTCTATATCAATGTTGGATCAGTACAAATGCAACATCACAAGATTAGTTCAGCCCATAAGTCAATTAACTGAAAAGAATTCAAAGGTCCTGTGGGCGCTTCAAGGTCCAATTAATACAGAAAAATCAGTTACTGACAAATCATCAGCTGCAAATAATTTAATAGACTTGTATAACAAGGCAGCTATAGAAGTATGGGTTTCTTTATTATTTTCGTATGCGTATAAAAAGAGTATACAATTTTTCTCCCAATATTGAATTTCAATGCATTTCCCACAAAAGTCTCCCCTTTGGTTTTAGGAAGCTTTCTGCGCTTACTCGAACTGTCTTTTTGACAGAATGACAGAGCACTTTGATTGGTCAGTTTCAAATCATACGTTTTATTTTATTGAAAATTGAGGTTAAAGACGTTCAAATATTGAACAAAAAGTGGAAGCTTTTGGTTAAATATTCTGAAATAAGTTAAGTTTAAGAATGTAATATTATGTCACGGTCTATGCAAAGCTTTTTTGACCAAATATTGGCATATATCTTCGATTTATTTATTTTCCAATGTTTATTTTTTCTATATCTATTAGAAACTCATTTTTTACTGTACATTTATAGAATAATTGCTCATGTATTTATGATCATTACTCACCATCAGTCCTGGTTTAAAAGAAAACAAAAGTAATTTATTTATTTTAACACATATTTTTTATTAAACAAATATAAATAAAAGTATGTACATATTTAAAGTTTATACAAAATCAAACTACATACAAAAAATACAATTTGCATTGTTGCATTATAAAAAAGATTATAAATATCTAAAATAGTAATCTTTAAAAGTCACAAAGATTAAAACACAAGCTTATATTAAAACCTTTATCTAAGGAAAAAACATGGAAAAAACACTAAATACTAATTGTCTCTCGATTTTCTGTTCTTCAATACTGGGACATATATCCCCTCGTTGCTTATATGGGGAGGCAGCGGTCTACTCTTTTAAAGGTATTTAATTGTAAAATGTCTTTTACATATTACTGCTATTTATAGGTGCTTTCCTATTCAAAAGCTGATCTGTGGTGGAGTGCACGCTTAATTAGTCAAGGATTGGTACTTGAAAGCCCTGATGGTATATATTTAGCAGAGAAGTCATTAAAGCACACTACCCAAATTTTGCTAAACATGTATTGTAACGATTATATGAATTTTAATGATGGAACATGTTGTAGTTCAATGGAGACTTGTACAACATTACAGATTGTGACGTTTGCGATTTTATCTATATGGTATAGGTATTTTAAATACACTCAGATGCAAAAAAAACAACATTTTTTTCGTCAAATTTAAATTGTATTTTTAACTCTATTTTCATGATTTTTTTAGCAAAATCCATTGCGTTTTTTTGGCATCTGAGTGTATATTTGAACGGAAATAATATCTTTGTAATTTTAGTGTGCTCATAGCGGTATTTATGGGTCTTCAAGCCATTTTCCAAAGGATTAAAAATAAAACAGCACAGAAATATCAACCGCTTCCTGATACAGATTCTTATCCTCCACCATCCAATATAAACAATTACAGCACAGTTTTTAATGCTTTAACAAAACTTTCATTAATAATGGCGTATTTCTTTATCTGCGATAGAACCAATTTTTTTATGAAAGAAAATAAATATTATTCAGAATTCAGTTTTTGGTTACCTATTGGTTATGTTACCGTTTTGGGTTTGTTTTTCACAGAGGATAGTAAACGGACAAAAATTTTACATAAAGATCAGTTGAATGAATGTAAAGGATGGATGCAAATAGTAATTTTGGTATATCACGTTATTGGAGCAAGTCAGATTTTGGTAATTAAAATACGCATAAAAGTATTAATATCTGCTTACTTGTTCTTATTAGGATACGGATATTTTTCATATGTATGGCATAGAAATGACATTAGTATTGTAAGTTTGTTTAAAACATTATTTAAATTAAATTTTATGACAGTTACTTTATGCCTTTGTATGAATCGGCCGTATCAGTTTTATTATTTCGGCCCTTTGTTATCTTTTTGGTATCTTATAACATACTGTTTTTTGGCGTTCCCACCTTATATAACAGCACACCATTGTGAGAATAACATAAAATACTATTTTTATCTACTGATGAAATTCATTTGCTTGTTTAGTATACTTACGATTCTTTTTGTCCGAAGTCTTTTTTGAAAAAATATTCGTGATGCGACCTTGGAAAGCTTTATTTGTTACAACCAACGATGATATACGGGAATGGTGGTTCCGATGGAAACTAGATCGATATTCAACAATGTATGGGATGGCTTTTAGTGCTCTACTAATAATAGGTCAAAAATACAACATAATCGATGATAATAATCATTCAAATTTATTTTCGAAACGAATGGCTCTTAGTTTTACGTTATTAGCATTTTTAGGATTAGGAATTTATACAACTATTACGTTTCTATGTGACAGTGATTTAGAATGCGACGAAATCCATTTATATGTTGCATTTATACCTTTTGTTAGTTTTATATTTCTCAGAAATGTTTCAGGAATTTTAAGAACAAGGTATTCCACTTTTTTTGCTTGGTTTGGAGAAATTCATCTGGAGCTATTTCTTAGTCAGTATCACATCTGGTTGGCCGCTAATACTCATGGAGTACTAGTGTTAATCCCCGGCTTTCCAGTACTAAATTTAATAATAACAACTTACATATTTGTCTGCGCATCTCATGAAATGCATCATATTATAAAAGTCTTATTACCTTATGCAGTTCCTGACGATTGGAAATTTGTATTAAGAAATTTTATTTTATTTTTGGCTATTCTAGTGCCTATTGGTATAAATGATGGAATGTTTTAAATTATATTTCGTAGCTACGTTTCTATGACTGAGTAAAATGGCGAATATTCCCATTACATATACTGCTTTAGGATGAGAGAGAACCCTGAACCATTGATTGAAAGAATTGAGAAGATACGCAACCTAATGGGCGAATTCGTGACAAGGCTGATTTGATTTCCCCTTACATCTCAAGTGCTGTACAGTGGAGCCACCAATCGTTCTGCCAGCATCGCATAAAACACTTATTTTCTCTAATTCGGCCAGCGAAGGCTTATAGAAGGCGGTGTGGAACCGAAAGTTATGTGTCGCCATATTAAAATGTGTAATATCTGTAATACGTTTGACGAAAATATCTTTGGATGAAAAATCGTATTTATGTATTCAAAATTAGTGATGGGATAACTCAAGGGAAAATTCGCTATAGTAGTCGATTATTGAAATAACCGACAAGCGATCCTAGAATGTAATAAATTGAAATCCGATTTTAATGTGACATACTCGATAAAAAGCCGAGCGAATTTTCTACATACATTGCAGGTAGCAAATTTATACGACGTTATCCGTTGCGTATCTGAGGGACAACATTTTACGACCTACATCGACAATGCTTTGAAATAAACTAAATCAAGCGAATCGCTTGCTACTTGCCATTCATCACCGGAAGAATATGTGCCCTGCGCACGCAGCTTACTGCTTGGCGTTAGAGTACTTATAACAAGCGACGGTCGAAACCCCATATTTTTAAACATGAGCGATATTTCGCTCGATTATTGCAATCGCTTGAAACTCGAGTACTCGATTATTGAAATTAATCGGTTTTTCCCATCTCTATTGAAAATTTATGTGTGTTAAACATAGAATAAACAACAAAAATATTTTTTTATAGGTACTGAATATTTCGTAGGGTCGAAAAAGTCGTTTAGATGGCTTGGGAGTGATGATTATTGGCATTTACATAATATTTTACATATGAAATAACAGCAATCTTGACTTCCAAGCCAACTCTAACGCCGTTCTTATATATATACTAAATTGTTTAATGATAGAAAATCCGTATTATTAACGTACTGTACCCTAAATCAGTAAATTTATGGATTAATCAGTAGTTATGGCAACACTGCCTCCGGCAACCACTCATTTTGTCGACTAAAAGCAGAACCACCCGCAGAACTACGGTACAGTATTCTTTATCCGCTGCGCTAAACGACAATCTTTATCTCGGACAAGCTGAGCATACATCTTACGGCGCATTCTCACGACTCGTGTACTTGACAAACATTTGTAATTAGTATACAGGATATACATGGTGCTTCGGGCATCTATACAGACTTTCTAAATTATTATAGGCCGTATTCTCGCCAGACCCTGTATTGCCAATAAAAAATACTTGCCAAGTAGACAAGTCGTGGGAATGCGCCTTTATTTTTTATTTAAGAGGGCGAAGAACATAGGGCATATTTTCTCGTTTTTATAATTAACAAGTACTTAATTTTGTGAACTGTTTAGTATTTAATAAATAAATTTTCTTTTGAAGCAGAGTGTTTAATTAATGTTGACAGACCTGTAGAAGAAAATCATAATAGATTTGACATATTTTGACATAACTTGTGATTGTTATGTTTGACCAAGCAGTGCCTTCTATTAAAAGATCAGCCTACGGGCGAGATTTATGACGTCACGCTAGTTAGATATAACGGATTAATAAATATGATGTAGAATACATGGAAAACATAATTATTCCTCAGATTTTTGGTTTGTATTTTAAAAATGATATAGTTTAAATGAAATATACATAATATACAGTTAATAACTACAACATATATACCTATTTATAGTAATAAATACTTTGGCAAATAAACTATGAACCATACAAATGCAGCAAATGTTTTACAATGTACAAATAATGTATAGGTACATAAGATAATGGGTAAAATGTAAATATATTTTAAATTTTGGGGTTTGAAAATCGATCTAATTTAACAAAAACATTTAATATCTACTAATAGTGATGTATTATTATTTGCATTCACAAAATTTATATGTATATTTTGCAAGTATCAATGTTCGAAAAATTATATTTACAAATAATACAATATTATCTAAAAAAAGGCGTCAGCGATGGCTATGAAATGAAGATCGCTGGCATTTTATATGTTAAATTATTCTAAGATTTTTGATTTTCTTGGGATTTTAGATTCGGGAAAAACGCTGATTAAGTTTTCATTTGGGTTTTCATTATTTTTATTTGGTTTAAAAAAAACGTTTCGGCTAACTATAGCCTTCACAGTGTTGTGTCATATGAGAAAAATAGTGTCGAATATAATCCAAAAAATTACATATACAATATAATTCACACCTCATAATGTTTACTGCAATTAATAAACTAATATAAACTTATCAAAAGATGACCACATATTTTTTAAAATTATTATTCTTAACACTAAAATTATCTACATTGACTATGGAGTACGCAGTAAACATTATGTGCGTGGTGTGAATATTTTATATGCAATTTTTGGATTATATTCGACACTATTTTTTTCATATGACACAACACTGATGGAGGCTATAATGTTAGCCGAACCTGTTTTTTTTTTAAACCAAATAAAAAATAATGAAAAACCAAATGAAAAATCAATCAGCGTTTTTCCCGAACCTAAATTCCAAGAAAATCAAAAAATTTAGAATATTTAGAATCAAGGTTCAAGAATATCAAATTTTCCAAGATTGTAAAATTCTAGTTAATTATTTTATGTGTACATTTATTTAGGGAATGTCATCGATGTTCATTTCCAAGCCAACTAGACGCCGATTTTTTTCGATGATACGGTATAATTCTTACGTAAAATGTAAATAACATTAGACCAATTAAAACAAAGAAATATGAATTTCTTAGTATTTTTAGTAATACCTTTATTCTTAAAACTTAATTTTGTATTATGCAAATATACCAATTTTATTGTTATTTTATTCATATTGTATTCAGCCATCACTTAAATATTTGATATTAATTTGGTATTATAAATAATCAATACTATTCATTAAAAATTACCGAACAAATATATGTTATGCTTAACATACATTATATATTATCAAACAAAAACACATTCTTCTTTTAAACTGTATCAGTCTTGTCTTTACAAAAATCTTTTTTAAAATTTGAACTCAAAATAATAATAATCTTTTTCATGATCTCTAATACACATATTCTTTATTTTTCCCTAGTTCATAATACCTACTTACGTGTTTGAATCTATCGAAGCTGAACCAGCAACACTTGGAGTGGAGATTCCACAATATGAATAAAATAAACATAATTGTCCAGTTTTCATTAATACCATCATGGGAGAATATTATTTTTAAATTTATTAAAGATATTTTCAATAAAATTCTCTTGATTTATAACTCGTACCCACTTTTCTTGCTCTTCCGGACACTTTAGGCTGCCTAGTATAATAACTATCCTTAGTAACTATCCTTTCCACCAGGAACACAACAAAGATGAGGCATAGCACCAATAACACACTCCACTTAAGCTTTATTGATGAATTGTTAGAGTCTTAAAAAACACACACAAAAATCACGATAAGTAAAAAATGTATGGGCACTTTTAGGTTAAATCACTTGCACAACGTGTAATTTTTAAAATTTCTATTTTTTTATGCGAAACCGAGAGTGACCATATATCTGGTAGTAGTTTATGTCACTTCAACACCAAAATAATTAGTTTTTTGCACTACAATAATAAATAATACCAAAAATCAAAGAGTTAAAACCAAAAATCAACCGACAAAATATGAAACGGAATCTAACCCAATATCTAAGTATGTACAGCTGATGAAGTAAACAAAAGTCCGCCCGTGGGCTGATCTTTTAATAGAAGGCACTGGACCAAGACCGGATTATTTTAAATCATAACTCAAGAACGAATGTATATAAATGATTGAAAATGAACAATTTCCTTCATTTCAAAGAGTTCTTTAATAAGCTTCAAATACATTTTTCTGTAAAGTAAAATAGGGAAAACTTCTTAATCATTTTTAAAATTTACATGGGATTTCCTATGTTCGGGTCGACAGTGCAACACACGGTAGATAATCGCACACACTTAAAAGAGCTGTCGGTTTGAAGTCCGCAGGGCAGTCGCAGTCCTTTCCGGGCTTCAGGATGGCAACAATCTTCGTTTGCCTTGAACAAGCTCGGCAGTTTTTCCGTCTGCTGGGTATTGTAAAACTTTTCAAGTCATTGCATAGTTTGGAGTCCTAGGTATTTTAAAGATGCTGTACATATTCCATTTAAGTCAGCAGCTTTCCCTAGTTTCATTTTTTTAATGCCTCCATGATATCTGTGACATACGAGGAAATCTTGACAAGTTGCAAATGTAAAATGTCTTTCAGTTAGGATTAGTCTAGCCAGTTATAGAATTTAAATAGCAGACATATTTGTAATAAATATGTAATATTTTTTACCCCATACCAACCACATGGAGAAGAGCAAAAGTAATCTTCATACCCAAAATAGGCAAAACTGACTGGACAAATCCCAAGTCATTTAGGCCTATTTGTCTCACATCGTTCATACTAAAAACGCTGGAGAAAGTAGTTGACAACCATATTGGAGAAAATCATCTAAAGGTTAAACCACTGCATGATAGTCAGCATGCATATAGAACGGGCAGATCCACAGAAACTGCTCTGTACCAATTAACGGAGCTAATACAGACAAGTCTGGATAGCAAAGAAACAGCAATTTGTGCCTTCTTGGATATTGCGGGGGCGTTTGACAATATACCACATAAGGTGGTCAGGCGATCTCTAGAAACAAGAGGGGTGAACAGAACTATTATTCGCTGGTTTTGGGAAATGCTGTCAACACGAACAGCAGAGGCTCAGATGGGCACCAAAACTGTAGCTGTTAAAACAACGCAAGGAACTCCACAAGGTGGAGTAACCTCCCCTTTGCTGTGGAGCTTGGTGGTGGATGAACTACTAGATGAATTAACTCTAGCGGGAATACAC